TAAAAATACATTAATAAAAATTACGTATAAGTTATATGTAGTAATGTAAAATTAATTTTTGTTTTAGGGTCATCGATATTGGCAAGATTCTATTCCACTGTTCCTAGTTTGTGTTCTCGTAGTAGTTGTGGTGTTGGTTTTTCTGTCTAAATGTATGAATGTATGTGTGTGTGAACAAATTTTTGGTATTTGTTCAGTATGTCAACTATGCATCTATTGTCAGTACATTTTCACTGGTCGCCGCTGATTTTCATCGATTCTTGTTTAATTGTAAATCTTTTTGAATGTTTTTGTTCACAGGTAGCAATATTGTTAATAGCATCTGAAGAGGATTAGTTGTAAATAGAATTATATATTAAATGATAARATAAAATAAATTCGGTTATAGATAAGTACGATAATAAGATGAGTAATGCAACAAGAATTTGTTAAATTATTTCAATTCAATAATATGATGTATATTTTTTATATTATTACGAATTCTTATTATCGTTAAAATAATATCCRATGCACTTGTCAGTGCATATCAATGCGTGCGTTCCTATTATAAGTTCTTGAGTGCTATATTTTAACTTTCAATCGATTGTAAATCGGAACATTTACATTTTTACGTCAGGGTTGCGTTTTATATTTAAAGTTTCAATAAAATCTACATGAAAGTGTGTGTGTGTGTGTGTGTGTTTGCTTGCATGTTCGCGTTAATTTAGGAATGGAGCACTGTAAATCAGCTCTATTTTTTAGGCGGTTATCGGGTAGGTAGATCGATTTAAAACGATGTGCATGATTTTTCCATTCAACTTGAATAATAAGTTGGATGAAAAAATCAGTGACTCGTTTTCCGTGTTGAATTTTGCAAATTTCTTTTTAATAGATTGACAAATATGATGTGAATTTATTAAAARAAAATTAAATGTAGAAGTARAGTYTTAGCCCGGGGGTCTCCGTACACAGCAACCTCCTCGCGGTGAGACCTGGGTCGGTATTACTTGCAATATATTTAATACTAATTCTAAATTATGTAACGCAAGTACTACCGGGCTAATGGCTGTGCTAGATTCAATTTAAATTCATATTTACATGTTTTAATTATTATTAATAATTAATTTCTTTTGGTCCTTCTGACACATTGTTATTATTTTTGCAAATAATCATGCAAAACATTTAGAGATTTACCAAATAACTTATTAAAAAATAAAATGTGTATGCATGTGTGTGTATATATGAGATAATATTTAAAGTATGTTATGTATGTGTGCAGATATTTCTAACCCTTTGCATTCGAGGCCTTTTTCGCAAGGACAAACCAGTAACTTTAGACGATTTTTCGCATCTAAATAACGTATCTAAGATTAAAGATTTATAGTTGTTTTGTATGCATGTATTGTTAAAGGGATTCATGAAGCAGTAATGTCCAAATATAACTTAAATAAACATCGTTACCGTTCAAATTATCGTGTTAAACCGAATGCTGACCAATAGTAACTTCTCGAGTGCATAGGGTTAATATATCACGGAAATATAAGTTTTTTAAAATGAAAATAATTGTTTTGTTCATATATGGTGTATTAAAAGTATCCGATCTTCGCGATAACATTTCAAGCTAATATCAAATTTAACTATCCTTTCATTTTACTGACGAAGTGTGTGTGTTTCTGTGTGTTTCTGTATCGCTAATTATAAAACGCAAGATAGAAACGGGTGGTTGCCGTTAAACGAGCGGTAAACGCGATAGGTAGAACGCTAAGGGCATTGTGCCCTTAGGACCCTTTCAAGAGTCAACTCTACTCGTAACTATCTCTTTCTCTCTTTTGCTCGTATGCGCTTATCGGACGACGGGTTGCAATGGAATTTCTTAAAGCATACTCGGAGGCGTCGTCTTGGCTGTTGTTTCTCGTAACATTGCGGAAAAGGCGAGTTATGTTGGCTGAGAATATTATCGGTAAGGATAACCGGAGTTTTCCTTGTTTCAACCCTGACACTCTACCCTTACTACCTTCCTTCTATCATCTTGTTTTCCTTGAAAACGGGTTCAACGATGATGAGAAAGAGATCTTTTTCAAAAGAGAAATAACGAACTAGACAGTCAAAAACACTGATACCATTTACCCACTTATCTTATCTCGTAGCAGAGAAATAATAAAGAATGATTGAGCACGAAAATAAGAATATATCAAAGTAATTTCTAGAATAATATCGTTATAAAGCTTTGTCGAAAGGAATGATCGAAGACGCGGTAAAAAGACAAATGATCTCATCTTTTTTTTGTATTTTTTTTAAATTTGATTGTAATAATTCTCAATTGGAGATACATTATATGTTTTATATAAATGCAATTTGTTTTATTTGATTTACAAATTAGAAATTTAGTTGTACATCCTTTTCATTTTTGTTTATTTTATATTATTGAGAAAATATATAGAGAAAAATTCGACGTATACTTTTGATGGATCGGTTAATATGTAAAGGTGAAGAAATGTTCGTTTTCATCTTAACATTGCTTCAACAGCGGGAGAAGAAAGTTTCGGGATCAAAAAGTATAAAGAAAAGGAAAATAAAAGAATGAATAGAAGGAAGGAAGGAAGGAAAGAAGGAAGGAAATAAAGGAAGAAAGAAAGAATTAGAGAAAAAGATCATGGAAGCGAGTGGTCCGTTAATTGAATTCTACGTGGGTTTCGTTATTTTCCATTCCAAAGTTGAATTGGGTCATCTCGCGAAAGAGACCTGCAGTAGTAGTAACTGCACCCACGCTGTTGTCACTTCTTACGGTCAATAAACTTTCGTTTTCTCAAGCTGGAACCTCAAGCGAGCTGGTAATTTGAGAAAAGGCTTGAAAATTCATTCCTGTCCAACGTCGACAGGGGCGACCCTTTTGTGCGAGCCCATTCTCTTTTTCTCTTTTTCTTTTTTTCTTTTTTTTTTTTTTCTATCTCTCTTTCACTCCGTCAAATGCCGAGTAATTAAAGGCGTCACGAAACGGTGGATGCGACGACGAGACCCCGGACGACTTAGCGATAATAAAAATTTCCTGTCGACTCGTTCTTTTTCCCTTACTTTTCTTTTCTTTTTTATTTTTTCTTTTTTTTGGATTTCCTCTATTCATTCCTTTTTTACTTAATTTTTTTCTTTTTTTTTTTTTTTTTTTGTCGAACAATTGCAAAGGTGAGAGACGGTAATTGTTACACTTGTACTTTCCCTTTCGTACGTACATATCCGATGACTTTTTTTTATCCTTTAAAATACGAAAGGAAATTTTTATCAGTCGTTCGATAAAATCACGTAATGCGATTCTATCGTTGTTTTAATATTCATTTTATTATAATGCTTTTATTATACAATGATATTTGTATTCTTTGCGAATAGTTTTTTCGTCGAAGGTCGTTTAATTTTTTAAATTATTTTGATACAATTATTATCGATCAATAAATAATTGTATTTATTGCAGAAATACTCGATTGTCCTGATAAATCAGACATCGCGTGTTCCACAATTAATAGCCTAATTTAGTTTGTAGCATAATCCAGTTTCTATCGATAATTCATGAGGATTGAATCAGTTAGCACGTGTTATCGTCACATTGGAAATATTGGATTAAATTTCTTTCTTCTCTCTGACGAACGAGGTGCGCGAATAGACGCTAGCTATAGTTTTAATCGATGTGTATTTGTTCTGTTTCCGAACTCGCGATTAGTTGAACGATCTTACAAAGCTCTGTTCTACCTCTATCCTATATATATATATATATATATAACTATGTATAGATGCATACATCCAACTATAGTTTTAATCGAATACGTGAGATTAATTTCTCCTTCTTCCCTGATCTATTGGAGAGTTTCCCATTGGTTCAATTCGTATCGCGTGTATTCTCTACTTCCTAAGAAGAGTTTCTAATCCTTATAACACTTGATATCGATTCATTGTGTGTTCGTACTTGTATATTGCATGTGTATCTTATTAAACGCTGTTATTATTCACTAAGCTCGCGCAGTTGTTCGAAACAGATAATTTGATGAATGGTTTGTCTTACAAATCCTATAAATCTTATCAATCGATAAATTGAAATAAAATGTTACATACGCGATATCATTACATTTGAGAACACAAAGCTACATAAATACTTATAAAAAATGAAGGAAAAGGAAGAAGATATAGTATCAGGAATAGGTTGGGTGGTTCTCTTAACGTGCTATTGCGAATTCGCTCTTAGCTTTCTGCGTATTACACTCGAGTAGAAATTGCATTCCAGTTCTCTTCCCCCATTTGGCTTTCCGCAGACTACTCTTGGCGGTCTACTAAATTTTAATTCGTACCGGCGTGAATTCAGTCTCGGCGGTGGTAACGGGAACTTTGGAAGACAACCGACAGTGCACCGTTCCTACCTGGTAACATTAGCAGTTATATTTAGCGAATCTAGTGACGTCCTAGTGGTTCTAGTAACAAGTGGGACCATAATGACGACTATATCCTGGGTGATGCCACCTAGTCGAGATGTTCTCCTCAACATTCCTCTTGTGCTACATAATCTACGTAATAATTATGATATCATCAATTAGCTCAAGGCTGCTGACGTTAATGCGTATTCACATGACCACTATGAATCCTCTCTCTCTCTCTCTCTTCCCCTCTTCCTCCTCTTCCTCTTCCTCCTCCTCTTCCTCCTCCTCTTCTCTTTATCCCTCTTTCTGTACGCGTAACACCACGCGACGACACGCAATACGACGACACGGCATTCCGTGCGGTCGCGAAATCGAATGTTCCGTGTACACCGCAAACCTAAATCGTATCCCTCACTGGAATCACGCCCATTTGCTGAAAACCACTTCTACCTTCAACAATCCTAACTACTAATTTCATCGGAATGATTCGTTCTACTACGGTAAACCAAGAGTCGACTAATTGTCTTTTATTTTCTCTTCAATCTTAATACAGGTTGCTTGTTACGAACAGAAAAAGTACATTATTCAAATTGACAAGTTTTAGCAAATCCGAACGAATCGCGGTCCGTTGGCAGATAATTCATGCACGCGATTTAGAATAATTTTCAATCGCGAATTTCTACCTCAGGTCTATAGATGTTCTCATTAAAAAATGTCAGCTGCAACGGGTGTCAGTTACAAATGTATATCGAGTCTTTTTGTTCTTCTTTTTCTTTTGTTTTTTTCTTTCTCTAAATGTAAACTCATAGTTGGCTTCGTTGGTAGAAATACATGAACTCGCGTATCAAAGCATAGCAAACTTGTTAATCATCTCCTGACACGATGTTTATGCATGCGTCTCGTATATCTCCTCTTTCTTTTTTATTCTTTTTCTTTTTTTTTCTTTTTTTCACGTAACTCATTTTTAATTGCATATCGCGTTAAGTCAATAAGTACATTTACCGCAATTATTTGCAAGGTGGTAAGCATTTACCGAGCAAACGCGTTTAACTAAACATTTTATTCTTTTTGCAATGACTCTCTTTGTACAGGAATATAGGGGATATGTTTGTGACGTAACCTTGTTAAAGGAATAAACATAGAAAGAGAGAGATAGAGAGAGAGAGAGAGAGAGAGAGAGAGAGAAATGTAGAAATAGAGTTAACTCCTTTGATAGGTACCATCATAATCCTCTAGGGGGAATTAGGTCATCGCTTTTGGAAAACTCAACCACGTGGGTATTATTTCGGCACGATACTAACTTCGGTTACGCGCGTTTCATAGAAATTACCTCGAGCATCACTTAGCCGAACGTTCGTCAGGAAATTCGAAGCGGCTTTAGGATATGAACCACGGTTAGAGAAAGAGGAGGCATATATCTAAGTAGCAAGAGAGAAAGAGAAAGAGAGAGAGCGAGAGAGAGATTGCAGGGAATCCTGAATCTAGCGTTATTAATTAGAGGACAGTCAAGCGTAACGCGAGACATATTGTATGTTACACAAACCGAGAAGCTAAACTCGCTTGCCAATGAGGTAACAAGGTGCGAAAGTTTGCTGAAGCTTTTCGATATCGATCGATAACGACGAGAGTATAGGGAAGCAACAAGACCCATAGAGTAATCCTTCTATAATCCTTCGCACATTAACGCTACGATCACCTATCCTATCTCATGTTCGAATCGTGGTAACAATTTTTTACTTGAACAAATCTTTAAGTATTATATCGATTATCTCTAACAAAGTAGAGATGTATGTATTATAATGTATTGTAATAAAAAGCATCACACAAGTCCCGTCAGGAGATTTTAATAAAGAAGATATTATATTAAATGTGTGATAAATAATAAAAATTGTTACCGGTCTTTATTAAATGTAGAATGAATTATTAATAATCTAGATCTCTCTGCGTTAAAATTCTATAACAATAAAGAGAGAGAAAGAGAGCTGGCAAATATATTTATTAGGTAGAGATATTAAAAATTAATCAAATTTCCATGATCATTCGCGATGATTTAGTGCCGCCGGTTAAATGTCTATTAATCGCTAACGAAATGAATTATTCATTTATTGTGATACATTTACCCTTTAACTCTCGCACGGTCAAAAGACAGGGGCGGCAAAAATAAATAAAAAAAAAAAGGAAAAAAAAGGAAAAAAAAAGGAATGTCTATTCATGTATGTATATCGTATTCGCAACGATCGTCGTTGCACATCGTGTCGATAATCGCGTCAGTCTAGGATCACATCCCTCGTTCGTACCTTTATGCATGCGTGTATCCATCCCATCGAAAAAGCGAATATTGCGTTCGATTCGATTAAAAATTCAGTGCGAAGAGAGGAGGAAGGGGGTGGGTAACTCGTGTATAAGCGAAAACCAATATGGCGATTAACATACGTCTAGCAATGGATGATACGATATGTTCAACGAGAGCACGTTTTCAAACTTGGTCGATTTTAAACAACGTTTTGCACTTTCCAATTGGGACGCGACGAGTTGTTATTAAAATTATATTTATCGGACCGTTAAAAAAAAGAGAAAGATTTTATGATTTGGTTGCAGGTTCAATTCTCTCGCGTGTGTATTTCTTTTTTTTTCTCTTTTTTATTATATATATATATATATATATATTTCGTTCAAATTCAAACACGCGCAAACCCTCGACATCGGACATCGTGAAAGAAATGCGCTCTGTAGAGCACGAAATTCATTATCTTCTTTCTTTTTTTTTTCTCAAAATGTTTTTTACGCGTATATATATATATTTTGTGATTTATTTATTATTCGGTTCAATGAACATATATACATTTTGGAAAACGAATTGTTTCCCCTTCCACCTCTCGTGTATTGTAATAGGGCGGGCAGTCTACGAAAATAGGCAGAACTCGCAGAGAGATGAGCTGTCACCGTAGGATAGTTACGTAATTGTAGAGTCTCCGTTGCAGTATGGTACGTCGAAGCAATCGTGCAATGATTCCTACGCGGAAATCCGGACGAAGGAATGTCCTTTAAACGACTTCTGTCCGGAACAGACCGGTAACTGGTTTCCGGCTGACGAGGCTGCACTTCTCTTTCAATGTCTTCTCTCTTCCATTCTACACCTACCTACCTACCAATGTTCTCATTTTACTTCCCAGCTGTCGAGATATAGCAGCCAATCCGAGACCTACAACGTACACCTATACCTACACCTATACCTACACCTACACCTATCTCATTTCGAGGATTCCCTGTATTAATAAAAATGTTCCCGACAAAAATTCATTACCATTTTCGACTGTCCTATTAAAATAGATCATTACTTATTCGGTATTTCATAAATGCATTAACAATAAATGTATAACCATTGTACGATATTTGAATAGAAGATATAATAATCTCGCGTCTAAAATATATATATATATATTTTATTTTATGGGGTAGAAAAAGGAATGGAATGTGATGAAATAAAATTCTTGTTTTTCATTAAGAATTTTAGTCAAGTAATTTCCATTCATTTGCAAGTTTCTTAATCTAGTAAAAGAAAGAAAAAAATAAAAAGAAAGCTGACACGACGAGTTAAATTGTGCATATATTGAATATTTGTCAGAGAGAAAGAGAAAGAAAGAACTATAAAAAAAATGAGTTACTCTTGAATGAAATTCATGCTTGAGATACAAAAAGATATAAATCCCGTCCAATTTGAGGGTATTATTTTAGTTTTAAGCGGCATTCCGATTAAAAGGAGCCTCGCGAGTACACTTCGACGAAAGCTTAAGAACTTGGCCGAGTCTCCGAAAGGTAAGAGGATTAAGGTCACTTATGCGGCAACTTGCTCACGAGTTTCACGAACACGTTAACAGTCTTGCTGTTACTTGGGGAAAGTAGTAGCAGCAGTAGCATCACTAGTAGAACAGAAGCAGAAGCAGAATCAGAATCAGAAGCAAAAGCAGAAGCTGAAGCAGAAGCAGAAATAGCAGCAGTGCCCAGGTCGAGTTCTCAAGGTACGACTGGACTATACCTGGAAAGCTTGTTCTTCGCTTGGTCGACGAGAATGACGATACTACTACTACTACTACTAGTATTACTATTACTACTACTATTATATTATCTACATTCCTCTCTTGGTCTTCCAACGTTCCGGACTTCGTGGCTTACGAGATTCCCTACGCTTCCAAGATCTTTCTTCTTTGATCTCGTAGACTACCTCGAGGCTATCAATCTCGAATTAGTTGCGCTAGCTTATCTTTGTATTCTTTTTATCCCAGATAAACACTTTGTTCTCGGGAATTTGCGAAAAATGAAAGAGATTTTTTTTTTCAAATTACATATATACAATACATTTTAAATGTGTATAGAATATTAACAAAAAAAAAAAAAGGTTCAATTATATTGATCATATTTATAATCATTGTAATGTTGTATTTTTGATTGTTAATGGATGTTTGAAGACCAAGAAGGAAAATAAATATCGAATCGTGGTCTCGATAATGCTCTCGTAAAAAATCCTTTTGCCTGACGTTCGTCCATCGGTAAAATTTAAGTCTGGAAACAAAGTTTGCATAAGAGTAAAATCGATCGACTTTACTTTTAGGTAACATTCGAAACTCCCATGAAAAATCACGAAACTTATGTTCCCGTCTCTTTGAACTAGGAATATTATTGGCCGGCATATGACAAAGAGTAAGAACGATTTTCTTGTTCGATTTGTCAGAATATTATTTCGATAAAAATCAAAGATAGATAAAATAAAATGCTGATGGAAAAATGTCGATAGATTTAATTAGTTTGTTGAAATATGAAAAAAAAATAAAAAAAGAAAAAAATTAGCAAGTAATAAGAAGAAAAGTGTACGGAATGACCAAACTGGAAGGAAGCTGAAACAAATATTTGGCAAGGAAGGCATCGTGCTTGCTCTATGTCATGCTGAATAGGTCCGCCACGAAGAGATATTTATGTACACATACCCAGTGTATAAGGGATGCCAGATTCCAAACCCAGGGCTCACTCGGCCGAAGTAAAATGTATTGTTTTCGGATATTCCCCGCTTCATTCCCTTTTGTTTCGCGTCTAGCTGTTATCCAGCCGCTAGCAATGGCTTGCTGCGAACGAAACCACAGCAGCAGACATCAATGTACACCGGGGTGGTGGTATACGTGAACAACGTGCACGCGCGTGCGTATAGGTGGACGCATGCACACTGGCTTCTACATGCACAATATATACGAAGAAAAAGAAAAATAGGAAAGGGCGAAAGGATAGAACGTTCCTTCCTCCATCTATCTTTCCTTCCTTCCTTTCTTTCTTTCTTTCTTTCTTACTCTTTCAGTGTCCGGTCCTGTCCTCGCCATGGTAGAAAACTTTCAACTGCTTAAGAAATATTTTCTTTTGCCATTATCCACAATATATATGATCTCGGGGGAATACGTAAATTTAATTAGATTAATGCGAGATATAAGGCAATAAATTTATTTCCAAAAATTCTAACACCGATTTTCATAAAATACGCGAATTTCAGTACTTTCATTTGTATGAACTTTTAGGATTACCCATTTAACACGCGATATTAATACGATATGAAAAAGTATTAATGGAGATTTTGTAGAATGTGTTTAAATGCATATCATTTGTTCTCTTATTTTTATTTATTTTGACAGCTTATTTGTTTATTCAGTGACATCTGTCAGGAAATAAAATGGAATTCGTCGTGGTCGTCGTCGTCGTCATCTCGTCGTCGTCGTCGTGCTAGTTGAACGTTTTCGAAAAAATGAATCTGTTGTTCGAGTATTTTGTAACAGCTGGGTAATAACATGGCCGAGAGACAGGTGTTGCACTGACCTGGTATTTATTATCATTGTTATTAGATTTGTCAAGTGTCGTAAAAATATATAAAGGATTTTTATCGAATCTCTTTATTCTGTCTAATAAAGTTTGTGAAAGTTCATTTCATTTTAATATGATAGAGTTTCGACGAGACGAAGAATTTATTACACGGAAGTGCACTCGCTATATATTGCGAAAGGAACAAAGCGAAGTCGTACGACAAGTTTCATACACTCGACTTCCTACAGAAGCGATCTCTCAAAAGAAGCGATTGCCACTCGATTCAGTGAACGACACTATGCATTGAGTTACTACACAGAGAGGACAACCTAGAGAACCGATTTGGACACTTGGCGAGTATCGTCCGTGTAGAAAATTCTTTCCAACAAATAAGAAACCATTCCCCGATGTCGCGTCCTCATCGATTTCTTCATTTTCTTTTTTCTTTGTTTCATCGTTGAAAAATTCACTTTCTCGCGCGATAATGCTTTCTATCCGGGAAAAAACAAAATATCCTATATATATATATATATATATTTCATTCGTATTTTTTGCGTTAGATCGAATTCTTCAAAGATGACATAAAAATATTTGATCGTAGAATCGAAAGGGAAGAGATACAAGAAGAAAAGGGACTTCACTTATCCTTTCATTCGACGATTAAATATACGTATGTCATATACTCGACATTGTAGAATATTAATGCGTCATTAACGGTACGGTAGGAACGTTCAAAGATGCTTATCAGGTGCACGGTAAATTAATTACTCTTGGTGGTTTATATGTATCGTTCGATATAGGATAGTACCGAAAGGGAACCTTGAAAACCCTCTTTTCTCTGATGATTTCACGACACGTAACACTTTGAAACATTTTGCGCTGATAAATACCTTAGTTAATGCCTTCTCGAGTTGGCTGCATATATCCCGTCGTGTCAAATTAATTATTAATGATATTGTATCAAAGCTTTACGATTACTCGTGCTTATATATACATTTTCGCGTGAGTTCTTCTTACACCAATTTACAACAACTTGAAGAAACTTAAGAGAACTTTGCGCAAAGTCATGTCAAATAACGCTAATTCATCCTAACTCGCATCAACCTTTTACTAGCTAGCTTTTCCTATCCTACGAATAGGGACTTTTTGAGAACGTAAAAAAGCTTTCTCACCCCTTGGTTGTTGTCGTATAGTATTAGTGGTAGTAGTAGTATTAGTGGTAGTAGTAGCAGTCGTGGTCACTCGGTTGGGCTGTCGTTTTGTCGTCGAGCTCGGTCCAACTCGGTCCAATCTATTAATTTGCGAGCCACAACCGAGGTGCACAGCACTGCACTGCACTGCATTGCATTGCACTGCACTCTCGCGCCTAGCCAATGTTCCTATGTGTGTTGGTGTAATATGCGACCAGAAGTAGAGGAACCCGCGAATGCGGTCTGCTCGCCCGGTGCAGGAGAGAAGTCCGATTATGGTCAGACAGGTTCGAGCTTTTATTACTTGTCACGTAACGAAGCTTGCATGGAACTGCTCTTTTTTTTTTATTTCTTTTTTTTCTTTTTTTTTCTTTTTTTTCTTTTTCCTGTAGGATTCTATTTCCACAAATTTAATATATCTATCCATCTTCCTTTAGGAAGATATCATCGTGTTAACACGATTTTCCAATTACAATAATCCTTTTATATTTTTATTGGAATATATACACACACATTCGAGTTGTCTTTTTTTTTCTTCTTTTTATACAACAGACGCTTTTGTTTTCTCTCTCTCAGTTTTTATTTTAAGACATAAATAGTTAATTTGTGGAAATGGAAAATTAGGGGAGTGTATGTTTTTCTTAAATATTTAATTAAATGACTTTTAAAAGAAAAGAAGAATATTGCTTGCAGTTAAGATAATGCAGTTTGGATTTAATTGCATCTTATATGTTCTTGTGTTGTTTTTATTAGCTCATTAATATCTACGGATAATTCATCCTAGTGTATGCATAGATGCACATTTTCAGGTTAATCCTTTGTATACGACTAGCTTACTTATCTTTTCAATCATTTTTTATCCGCGTTAGCAAAGAACAATATAAATTTTGTCTTCTCAACAAAATTCTTTCATAAATTTTATTAGAGAAAATAGGTTTTTTGTTTTAAAATAATTCGACTTATGGCATATATATTAAAAATCATTTATCGACCAATCGAATATTTTAATCAATCGTTGAGAAATCACGATCTTCATTCGAAATCTAAATTCATTCTACCGGAAAGCTTTTTTTTCTATTTTTTTTTTTAATAATTCTGAGAAAATGGATTAAGGTTTCTGTTTGCGTTTTCGTTTCATCGAGCAGAGGATAAAGAAATTGAGAAAAGGAAAAGATAGAAAGAAAAATAAGGGGAGCAGCAGTAGTTTTTGAGAAAAATTCGTTAGAGCTGACACGCGTTGTGTTTCTCACTCCATCGCCAATTTTCATTACACTTAGGTACATTTCGTGGCTGACGGTTTCTCCCTTTCTCCCTTACTCTCTCTCTCTCTCTCTTCCTCCCTCTCTGTATGCTTGTGTTTGAGTGAAAAGCGACCCCAGGGAAATGACGCGTAGTGCATAACGTAGCGGCGTATAAACGATCCACGTACATACATTGTGTCAGTAGGGACGATATCGGCACAGTACTCGACGGGCTCGTTGTAATTATTACTGCATACAATCTAACGCGACTCGCGAGTTTACAACTCGAATCGACGATCGATTGTCTTTTCGAGTATCGACTTTAAAAGTACGATTTACACACATTTCACAAATTCGTTTAAATAATGTAGATTATATTGTATATATATTTTTTTTTTAGCAAAACAAATTTTGGAATTTGATTCATTTATCAATGTAATAACAATTAAACGTGTATTATTTTATTTGTATATAATTTCATTGCAATTATTATCATGTATAATTAATTATATATTTATATATATATATGTTTATTAGTAATTCAATATTATTTAGGTAATAAACGATGAACATACCTTCGCTTAATTTATTCCGAATAAAGATCTTTGCTAATAGTTGACGAGCATAAATGCACAAATTTGTAAATTCTTTTGATATCTTAAGATTGAAATGTTTAATCGTTTTAATAATTGATCGATCCTTTTTATTAATTTGCCTTTTATCGGATTGAAAATAAGTGCACTATTGGGATTCTAATGTAGACGATATTTCGCGTGATTTTTTTTGTTTTTTTTTTTTCGGTTCATCTTGAAAAATAGATACACGCGTAGGGAACAGTTGAATGTGACGGAGAGATTGGGTGGGTGGAGTGTGTGGGTGGTGGTGGTGGTGGCGATGGCGATGGTAACGTGGTGCTGACACGCACGATTCTTGAACAAAAATGTAATTAATGAGAGAACGGAGCCATTGTCGTGCGCGTGATGGATCGTGATGGCGTTATCATCCCTATACCCTCCCCCTCGCCCTTTCGTAATCGGGTCGTGGATGACGAAACATTTATAAAAGCAGCTTTCGCGTAAATAGATCGTATCGTCGAGTGCGGATCGTGTCTACGATTTTATGTCGAAACACAACACTCTCCCATATACGTGCGTGCACCTATTACATACATACATACATACATACAAACATACTTACGATCTATATGCAAGTTTATTTTTTATTCATAAAAATGAAAAATACGGGCGCGTGCCCGCCCGTGTATCGATATTTATGTATTTTAGTATTTTGCGTATTACAGGTGGACGACAATATTTTTTGTTATACGTATAATATTTGTTAAACAAATTGTTATTTATTCCTTAAAAATCGTTGTCCATGTTTTTTGTTTTTTTTTTTACGAGTTATAAATGATTAAATTGATTGATCTATGCAATAAACTATTTTTACACATGGCACGCGTTGATTATTACATTGGATTTATTTGTAACAAAACTAACTTCATTTCAAATCGGAAGTGAATGTATTATGTATGTATACTACTATAGAAACGCATGGGAAGGGTAATGTGGAAAATGTAGATATACCGAAACTAAGTAACCTCGTTCATTGATTTCCCTTTGCGTCATTATTCGCGTGCTTCGGTTATTACAATATTGATAGTAAGTTTAGATTATCGCTTTTGCGTGTGCATATACGGGGTACTTCGATGGAAAATATATTATATTGTATTTTATCGATCGATTGCTTGAAAGCTTCAAATTGATGTTTCAAAGATATTTCAATATTTATCAAGTTTGAAAGAAAAAAAAAAAAAACAAAAAAAAAAAAGAGAAAAC